TTCATAAAATTGTGTTCGACTATGATATAAAATCACAGACAGTCAGAACAACCTTTATAACATGGTCAACTTTTTTTCGCCTTTTGTAATCGTTTTCATAAGTTGCCGTTCATATTTTCTTTGCTTGAAGCTTATGATGAGAGAGTCTTGCTCACATGTATTGGAGAGAAAGATGTCATCATGGATGCAAATTTATCTAAAGGGGCTTACAGCACTGTCTCAGTAATGTAGTGATAATGTTAATTTTCATCTGAATCTATGTTATGTGGCACTGCAGCATTAAATTCATTGACAGTTGTGAATTTTTATTCGAAAGCCTAAACAATCGTCACAAGATAATCTCAATAGGCATAGAAACTAATTATTGTAAGATAATTGACTACCCATAGTACCCCATATTTATTTTTCAAGTTCAAAATGATTCAAAGTGTCGCTTTTGTTCTGCATTAGTATGAATTTGGCTCTGTTGCATGCTAGTGTGCGTGCTTCGAAGTTTATGGGTAGACGCAATAATTCTTTTGATTTTTAAAATACTGGCTTGTCCTAGAATTGAAACTGAACAAAATAAATGTGTGCTCGATCGTTTGAATCAGAACAATTTAATCATGAAGAGCTAGAAAACTACCTCCTAAAGCCAGCGGTATCTGGTAAGCGGAAACTTAAGGTAATTGTTTATCAATATACAAATCTTCAAATTTAAATTAAGTACTATGTTGTGATGGATAAAAAGTGTGCATACGGAATGTTATTCCATTTGATGATATCCTGACAAAAAAGCTTGAGCTAATGCCTTGTTTTTCATCATTCTGCCTTGAATGAGTCCACTCATCAAGCGAGGTTCGAACAATATCAAAGGAAGTCATTCATCACTTCCAGCTCTCAAGCACCTCAGACTACACCTCATACCTCAAGAGGGAGTGAGTCATCATGAACTGAGGAGTTTTGTGTACATCACGTATGCGATGTGAATAAAAGATGCTTGAAAACAAAGTGAGTGATTGAAGATTTGACTTGGCGGCCTTGTGCATCTCGCAGCCACATTACCTCAATTTTCGAATAACATCTTCTCTGGCGCTTAACACAAGTGTGGGGGCAACAAAAAGTTTGGAATGGAGTTTTTTATGAAGTAGATGTGCTCACAGTTACGGCACGTCATTTTTCCCTCCACGATCTGGGTCTCCACAAGCAAAGTATGCAAATCCTTCAAGACGGCCTGGTCGTCCTCCATGATTGGGTCCAAATTTTCGGGCTTGAATGGGGGAAGTGAGTTGTTTCCCAAATCAGCAGCTACTTTCAAGACGGCATCCCAGTCCAATCTGTCCAACATATGCACAATAAAGTCTGGATTGTAGTCCAGCTCCTCCTGCACGAGCTGGCAGTCCGAAAATTGTAGTGGGAAAGACTCCGTGGACGAGTCACATGTTTTAATGGCGCACTTGACAAAGTTAGAAGTTAGGAATTTCATTGCTGGCAATTTTGGTGGGAGTAAATGCTAATGATACAGTCTATGCAACATAAGCTCGCTCATCTAAAAAAAAACCGTACAGTCCTGCATAACGCGGTATGATTGGAGATGGACCTTAGGCCCATTCATGCTATGATATGTATATGTGTTTCGTAATGCGAGTTTAGTTGATTTTCATGCCGTGATTACACTCAGGCGATGCGTTGTTTCGTCTTTTGCTAGCACAGGTTCTGTGAGCCAACTCGAGGATTCGTATTCAAATCTTTGAGGGCTTTCAACTTGATGATTTGGCCGCACTTCCGGCATCTGCCCTGGTTCTAGGATGTCTAGAAGATGGCTATAAAGCGACTCGAGTTTCTCGCTTCCACGTTCTTTGATGTAATTCTGAATGAGCGAGGCCACCCACTTGCATCTGAGTGTGTCATTGTCCTGAACGTATGCATTTCCAAGAGTACAGAGGAGTTTTTCATAAAAAAGCTTTCCAACAATTTCTTCTGCTGCCGTATTGTTGAGCACAAGATCATGAGAAGCAAATTTGTCGCCACACACAATCTTCACCCCTTTTGGTGTATCTATCAGATTAAACACGAGCTTACTCAATAGTTTGTCAATCGATTTGAAATCTTTCACCGAAACGCATGCCACAATGGCATCATTTATGATTCTTATGTCAAATATCATGTTTTTTCTAGCGGTTTCATTTGATACTGTCAGCTGAGAACGAGATAATTTGGTCATGAACGAAGGAAGCACGGATTGGCTTGATGCAGGGCGTGTCTGTATTGGATCGAGGATCTCTAAAAGAGATTTGATTGAAGAAGCATTTTCACGTCTTTCGTGGTACTTGAGAAGGCTACTCAATAATCTGGGGTCTTCTTCAATTAGGTCTTGAAAGTGCAGCAAATTTGTTTCGGCAAAAGCGTGGGGCGCAATACCATCTGCCCATGCAGTTTTTCTGTCTCTAAAAGACGGAAGGTGTTCATAAACTAGCGCCTGGTAGTTGTATAGCCGCGCCTGACCAAACTTGTCTAGAAGATCTCTGAATATAGCATTTGAAGGAATGCAATTTCCGCCACGCGCAAGCTCCTTCGCTATCTTGAGCACGAAATTGAAATGCTTGAATGGACTCCGGTTTTTTCTGTAAGTAGAGTAAAGATTTTGGAATCTTTTCAAATACTCGGTGCTGTCGACGGTGTTAGTTCGGAAAACTGGCCCCTGTATACCATGTATCCACCTGCTTGTATCGGAGTTTTCATAGTTGCGCCAACGCCCAGACTTGTAGAGGTACATGTCGTATCTACGCAGTTCTCTACTGGAAAAGGCGTCGTTCTCCTGAAATTCTTGGAATAATGCTTGCCTTTTTTCGGCATCGAGGTTTCTGAGACCTTGCTTTAGGTCGACTGCAGGCCCCTGGCGGAGTTTTGCCAATTCTTGGAACATTTCCTTTTTGTCTTGGTCTGGCTTCATGCATTCAAAGAGGTTTGGACGGAATAGTTCCTTCGAACTGGAGTTGATGTTCTTCAAGTATTTATCGCGTAGCGAAAAGCGGAGATTTAGGTCCACAAGACACGACGTGATGATCAGATTCGAGAGCAGCATCATAATATTCAGAATGGGAGACGAGTACGTCCGTAACAGGGGGTCTGTCTCGTAGTCTTCGATGATTTCTTCAGAGATATTTCCAGTGGACCGTCCATCATCAGCTTCAAAGAGCCGAGCAATGTTTTCGGGCTCGGAGAGTTTCGTGGCAATGAGTTCTCTAGATGCAACGAATCTTTTAGCGAGATTTTGTTGGTCTCGTAGCATGTTTAGTTGGTTCTCGCGGTATTTACTCCACTTAGCCGACTGTTTCTTATCGTTCGACAAGGGTTTACGAATACCACTTTCTTTCTGGGACTTTATGATTTTGATCTGGTTTTGAACGCTTTCAAGCTTCTTATCTAGATCCGAGACCACGCTTTCGTAGTTTTCAAGCTCTGCTGCCTGCAGCTTGAGGTGCTCTAGCTTGTCGTTTTTTTTCATGGTGCTGAAAAACTTCAAGTGCACCAAAACCGCCACGTTAGATGCGATAAAAAGAACATGGCTTGGACTCTTAACTAGCATAAGGAACATCTTCAGTTCTGGGCTCCGTGCAAGATTAAGGCTTTGCCGAAGAGAGATTTTCGGGATGCCCAGACCCACGCTTTGCATATGTAGACTTCTCCTGGGGAAACCCCGGGACCTGCCTCGTATATCAAACATAAAAGAACAAGATGCACACGGTTGGCGGTTGATCTCACTATGTATCTAGCAAAGCCCTGAAGCTAGGAAGGTTTCCGGGGTACGAGCTGGTGTGCAAGATTCCTTTGCCCGCATCTTGGATGTATTCGCGGGCCAATCATTCAAAGCAATACATCCGTACATCGTCAAAAATCAGGCGATTTTCCGATCGATGAATTGGCAGTCAGCTGTTGCTAAAACTGGGCTCCTCATTTGAGCTTCCATAGAGCCCGGAATCCCGAGGATGAATTTTTGCTCGATGTGACATTTCTAACAATGAGCGGATTGCGTCCAATTCAGAGGATCTGGTGATGGCTGCGGCTGCGACGCGCAGATTCAAACAGAAATGCTAGTTGAAATACACCGTATACTATTCTGGTTTGCTTTACTGTATAAAATAAAACTGTTGGTAGATGAAGTGAGAGCAGAATAAGCATTTCCTCTCCGATTTTCTCGTGACCTGGTGACCACACTCAAGCTTCTCGTAAGTGTCACCTAAAGAATGGGTAAGTACTGATACAGTGCTCGTGAAGGAAGGTAGAATAGGGTAGGGAAGGCGAGACGGCGTGACGGCCAGACAGATAAGAAAAAGCCTTTTTTTGACTATACAAATACAAAGCACGAGAGAACGCTTTGTCTATGCTCGACAAAACTCACTGTACGTTATGTACCAAATTCCAAATTACTCCACAACTCTTGTCATTGGCCTGTACAGGCACCCGCAGCCAGAAAGTAATATCCTCGCAGCACGTTCGCAAGCCACAGTCTTAGAGGACATATAAACAGCTTTATCCAATTTGAGTTAATTGATTATTCAATAACATATGCCGAATTTCGCAAGAGTCAATTTGTACCAAGGCTTACGGAGATGTTCTTCGCAGGTCACCCGGCAAGGCTGGGGCACGCGTGTCACGTGACACAACGCGGACACGTCAACCTCTTGATGTCCACTCTGGACGTCGGGCCTGGAAAACACCAGTTTTGTTCAGCTGATTAGTAGCATGAAGGTTTCTACTTGGTTATTAGGTGCATTTGCAGCCATCACAAAAGTTTTGGCTGAGGACGATATCGACATGTCCTCGGCCGACGAGGTGGAGTTGAAGAACTACAAAATCGACTTCTACATCGAGGAACACGAGGAAGTGTCTGCCTCGGAAGTTGCCGAGTTGGTCTATGGCGAGACCATCACCATCAATTACAACCTCAAAAACGAGGAGGACAGCGTCATGACGATTGTCGGGTTGGGAGGCGCGTTCCTTGACCCTTTGAGCGGCGATCCGTTGGTCAACATGACCGCCAATTCTGTGGAGCCCATTATTCTTCAACCAGAAGAATCGACACACGTGCGCCAGAAGGTCACGGTGGACTTCCCGTTGCGTGACTATATCTTGGCACCAAACGTGTATGTTGCGTTCAAGGACCAGTTGAAGGGCATTCTCCCCAGGGGCCAGCCTGTGTCTTTGAGCGAGCCACCCGTGTCGTTGCTCCACCCGAAATTGTTGTTTTTGGAGCTTCTTTTCTTGGGTGCTATTGCTGCCTATGTGTACCAGTTCCACAGAAGTGCAGTTGAGCTGTACTTCAAAGACATTGCGCCCGAGACCAAGCTGATGCAGTCTTCCGGGTCTGCCTCCGGCAGCTGGTTGCCAAAGACGTATCAAACGGCGCAGAAAAAGCCCAAGGCGAGAAAATCTCACTAAGCAAGTTACACTGGCATATATTTCGTGATGCTTGGCGACTGGCGTTGGGGCTACGCGTGGTGTCGGACGCTTATTTGATTAGGATAGGTCTGTGTGGCGTGTTTGGTTGGGCCGCTTCAGTGCTTCGTCACCATTTTGGCTATATATCTAATTCAGTCTCTTCTTTTAGTCCAGCCGGGGCCGGCTATGCTTCTGCTCTTGTGCTTCTTTCGCCTGATGTTATTGTGCTGCGGTTTAATATTTTGTCAGTGTTTTTGGCAGTAATTGATATACTGCCTTGCTTTTTCATTTTGCATGGGCTTGAATCATGACTAGATTTCATGTTGTGACATGTTGGGCCTGAGATACTGTGCCTGGGTGTATTATTTTGCCTGGCTCGAGAAAACACCTGCTTTCCATTCCTGCTGCTAGTTTTCCGCCTGCTTCGGGATCTGAGCAACATTTCGCCACCGACTACATGACCCACCGGGCAGACTCAACTTCCATTTGCCTAGAGCACTACATCTCCAGAGCATATCCAACTGAAGACATTGCAAACCCAAATCAAAAAAAAACACCAAAAACTCCTGATGTCTCAAAATCGGGCCGTGTCAATCCAACAACACGCAACTTGGAGGTTTCAGACAATGATGACCAGGGTATTGTTACCCTTCTTGGCCACAAGTAAGCTCAAATCCAGCAAAAGCTGGAAACAAAAATGCAAGAGAACAAATTGGGAGACTCTGGACTGTCGTACTCGGACAAACCAGGACATCTCGAACCAATTTCACCAGCCGAGAAAATCCTTGAACAAAGTACGCCGGACTTCGAGGGATTGACCGAAGATGTAAGAACGGAATTAATATTGTATTTCGGTGATATTAAACCGTTCGGACCTTCATGTGCCAGAAAATGGTGTTAATGTTTGGTAATTCTTCAGAAGTAAAAGAAGGCCTTGATCATTTAAGGTTATTAAGAAGCGGAAACAAATAAACGAAATATTCCTCGGTGCATCTGCATGTCTGAAGCGAGTGAAGCATTGACCAAGCTGCGAAAAAGCTTGGATTTCTATAGTAGAGCATGAAAGGAGGTCTCATCGGAATCATTACAACTTCATAAAAATAAATACTCGGATGGTACACGAGAAAACTAGACAATTAGATTACAGGTTTGAAACTGAGAACTTGAAGAATACTTCAAGGACATTTCAGAGTACTGGACCATAATTGAAGTTGTGGGTCTGGGTCCGGGTTTTTGAAACAAAAGAACAAAAAACTTTATAAAATTCTAAGGCCTTTATATTTTGTATAATTATACTGGGACAATACAGGTATGAGCACGGTCATTTCGGATCTTGAGCTGGGAAATAACAGAGATACATGGAAAGCTAACCACTAGAGAGTAAAGCATCTCACAAATAAATGGGCTGGTGCTAAATCATTAAAAATAATCATCACAACCTGAAAGAGATGTCCATAGTTCAAGAGCGCAGAAGAAAATAGTGAGGATCGATCACCACCCTACCCAAGTATCAAAACAAAAACCCATTCTAAAAGAGAATGTGACGCGGTATCATTCATCTATGAACCACAGAAATAGGCAATACAAGGAGATATACGACATTGACTTCTGAAGTTCCATGCTCAGCAACCAGAGTGCCGGAAACGATATTCCAATCAAAAACTCATGAGCGTCAGGAAACATCCCATGAAGGCTAGGTGCTCTACCAAAAGAAGATTCATATGTAGTTAGTGAGAGACTCCATATTTATTCAATGGAGACTCCATATTTAGTCACTGAGAGACTCCATATTAAGTCAATGGAGACTCCATATTAAGTCATTGAGAGACTCCATATTAAGTCAATGAGACTCCATATTAAGTCAATGAGACTCCATATTAAGTCAATGGAGACTCCTTATTCAGTCATTGAGAGACTCCATATTAAGTCAATGGAGACTCCATATTAAGTCATTGAGAGA